GGGGGCTCTTTCAGTGAAAAAAATAAAAAACAAAGAGATAAATAATTTACACAAAATTTGTAACTAACTGCAGAGTAAATGTTTCCAACCTGGTTATTTCCCTATGGTTACAGAAATGAATGAATGGGAAAAAATGTGACTCTGTCTAAAGACGGTTTGCAAACAATAACGTTTGCTCACAGTCTGTGCTGATTTGGTCCTTTGTATGGGTGCGTTTTAACAATGGTGAGATTCCGGCGAACTATGTCTACTTGAAACATGTTGCCCAACAGTGAATAGCATTTCTTTGATCACTGAGGTGAAGGAAGTCAGAGAACAAACTACGTAAATTGATTACTCGATCAGAACTACAAAAACCTACAATTTCTGGAATTTGATTTTCTCATCGAGGGCAATATTTTAGCCCCAAGGTCAGTGATTATTTAATTTGAACTATTATGTAGTTTTATGATTCTTTGGTGGGATTGTATAGTGAAAGGGTTAATGCATTTTGATAGAAATATTGCATTTCCCATTTGAAAGTCATTACTCTAGCGTCAACCAGGCCCAGTTGAATGTATCTTTAACCAAGGTTGTATCTATTAGTGAATAAATCTGAATCTTTGTTCTCCCCATGAGGTCTGTTGGCACACGCACATTTTTGGTGTTCAAACTGAGGTAGTATTTGAAATCTTTTACCAATCAATGAGACCAGCATTCAGCTTAGATTGTAGATCAGATCTACCGGTAACACATTCATATGAAGAACTAGTATCTTGAGGAACTGAAACTCTGTAAAGCAAACAACATTTACATGTATCTTTCTGTTTTGTTGCATGGTTATCTGGAAAGTCATAGCACACCAACCCTTTTTCATTTGCAAAATCAAAATAAATAATAGTATGCTGTGTATGGCAACACAAAAAACTAAGCCCTCTATGGCAACTCAATAAAAAGTAGGCCCTCTATGTCAGCTCATTAAAAAGTAGGCCCTTTATGGCAGATGAATAAGTGTAGGCCCTCTATAGACATGCAAGTTTCTGCTTATATTTCAAATTCACACTGTCCAATTAGATCCAAACATAGTGCACAATTAAATTCTAGCACATCAACGAAAGTTGATCTGTGTCGTGAATCCAAGATGGCTGCCTACCAGCCATTTTGTTTTTAATATGGGTATATAGACAATAAAGACTCCCATTTTAAGTTGTCTCACAGTTCAAGACATTAAATTTACTTATAAATGTAAATACAAAAATAGAGAAGGCTGGGACATTCTCAATTGCCTGCTGAATATACTACCGATATTTTCAGAAACTTGTTGAATGTCTTGGGAAATGAATTTCAGATGATGTTTTTTGAGGTGTGTGTTTACTGGTATATCCAATTATGCAAAAAATGCCTTCATTGCTCATCCCAGAGCTTTGCCAAATATATAATAAAAAAAAAAATTCTGCTCTAAAAAATCAACCACGTAATTAATTAATTAATTGTTTTCTAAACTGCAAATTGAATGCAGATTTGTGGTTTTTTTGTTCTCCAAAATTTTGTATTTCTTAGCTTTTTGTTCATGAGTTGGTGGTTCAATACTACTTTAGGCTATAATGAAAACAAACACTGAATTTTCGAGTTTTTAGCTCTGCTTTTATCGTAGATGACAGAGCGAAGCTGTTCATATAGGCACAGTCCCTCCACTGTCTCACAGAGGCTTTGATATAGGTGATTGTCTGTCTGTCCATCAACAATTACATTTCCATCTTCTTCTTGAAAACTACCAGATTTGTTTATTTCGTGTTGATATTTTCAATTTGAAGCAATGTTATTAAAACTATACTTTGTTTTGGGAAATGGTAACCAGAGGACAAATAACTGTTGTGTGCATTGGGTTGCATGTTTTGTGTTGTGTTGTCTTTATATTTAATTTGTCATTTAATGCAGGTTGGCTACAATATTTGCTAATAAGATATTGATTTTTATATATTAATACTGGATAAAAACAAACAATCATGTTTGTCAAAATGATTTTTGAGCTTTAAAAATGTCAGCCAAGTTAGCCATACTGTAATTCACAGTCGTTGAGGTGTGAGGCACCAAAGTTGTTAAATAGTCCGTGTTCTGTTTTCTGAGAAACAAGCATTGAATATATGTTGCATGAAATGGGTTTAACCTCACAGCAGTGCTGCAACTGAGAATCTTTAATCTGAAAAGAAATCATTCATCGTCGGTTCATTCTCATGATAG